AGCAAATAGAATCAAATACGCGTATATTCATCTACCATTTGTTTAAAATTGAAAAAAAAAATCAGCTAAATGCTTCAAATGATTCGAATTATAGTTGTCACGCCAATTAATATTAAAATCACCAGCAAATATATTAAATTTACTAGAGTCAAAAAATGTCTCCAGCCAGTTGTTTACAATTTCAACAAAACACTTTTCACTAGAACTGGGAGAATGATACAATACACCATAATTGCCCATCTTCATGCAACGTACAACTGTAATACTCAAGAACCAGTTACCATCGATAATTTCGTTGATTCGAATTGAATTGTTTTTGACGTAGGACTACGTCTTTGATTTCTATATGGGGGTACACTTTGTGAAAACCGAAAAAGGAACATGTAACAAATTAAGCAAGATTTTGAACGTTAATAACTCAGCTGCCCCTGGACCAATTTCAATAATTTTATCACCAATCGATCAGAAATATGGCTACGCATCGACAACAATGCTTTCGAATGTTGATTTTCAACAAGAAACTATTGAAAACTGGTAAATGTCCAGCATTGTCCAAAAGCGTCGAATTAACTAACAAATCCACCAATTACCTACATGCATATGCTGCTTCCCCAGCACAGTCGTCAGAGAGTAGTAAGTAGACGAAACAAGTCGAAGTGGCATTCGCCTCCGATCCTCGGGCGCGTGCGAATAGGGAGGATGGAATTGCGTAATATTTTGCACACTCATCGCCATATTCAGAACCAAACGCAAATTCTTCGAGATAACCACCATCCGTCGTCTGGCTCGCCGTGGTGGTGTCTGACGTATCTCCGGTCTGATTTACGAGGCGTGCTGAAGGTGTTCCTGAAAAATGAGATCCGTGATGCTGTCACTAACTTTGGCAACAAAACGGCTCTTTTCAGGGCCACCAAGCTTATTACAGTAAAAAGTAGGAATAGAATTCATCTGCCTGTTTGTCCATATTCAGAACCAACAACCACACAAAATGCTCATGTAATCAAACTGGAAGCAGGGGTACAAATTATTTTGATCAACCTTCATCAACTTTGAATCGCCAATGCCGGATATTTTCGATGGAAGAAGCAACAATCTAGGATTTAATTCGACGAAGACGGCAGGAAACATTTGTGAAGCCGAGTTATTTACGAAAGAGAGTGTCTATGAAGAGAATCGATCAATGTAGATAGGACCTATTGAAAAGTGACGCGAGATTTGTTTTCCATACTGAGCTCCAATGATACCGACGCCAGGGAGGCAGCTCCCACACCTGGACCCTACATATCGACCCATCAACTCATGAACAGGGGACCAACGGCTTTACTTCCCGAAGGAAGGCGTGATCAGAGATGTTATGCCTTAGAACATGCTGGTGGCGCCGACTGAGATTGGACCCAGGCCTGCTGGGGTGAGAGGTAATCACGCTAACCACCGGCGCCGATATCTTTCAAGGTGATATCACGGCGAATGAGAACGACCCAAATTTGAGTTAAGTTATCTCAGAAATAAGAAATAAAGTGCAGGAACTCAGCGATGAGTAAATTTGCCTCATGTTTTCCCAGGTTTTACCAGGGAAAAATTCCCACATTTAAGAAAAGCAATGATTGGATCTACTCAGTATATTGGTACTACTCCGAGACTGAATAAATTTTTTGTCAATTTCCTCATTTTCTGGCAGATTTTTTAGGTTTTCCACAGGAAACCATGAGACAAATTTACTCATCGCTGAGTTCCTGCACTTTTGGCGATTATGAGTGAACTAATTTGGGTCGTTCTCATTCGCCGTGTACGCAAAAGGAAAAGAGCCAGTGTCGCTACTTGATAGCAAACTAGTCATAATGGGAGGAGTCTTTGTAGCTTTTATACCACTTGGTTGCACATCATCATTTGCAATCTGAAATAATGCGTCGAAAAAAACTGCTTTTGAAATTTTTCAAAAAGCATCAAAATAAATTGAACCTTAACCTGTAAAGATGTAAAAGAGCGGCATTAGCTTATTTTCGGTATGGCATTAGCTTATTTTCGCTTCGGACGGCGTGGTGAACAGCAATAGCAGCAGTAGGAAGATGGTGGCTAGTCCACTCCTTCACACCTAACAAGCATTAATTGACTGATCATGGCAAAGGAGGAAAAGGTCTGGTAAAGGAGGCACCCAGCGTTATCGCAAAGTTCTTCGAGATAACCACCATCGGTCGTCTGGCTCACCACGGTGGTGTCAAACGTATCTCCGGTCTGATCTACGAGGTGTGCTGAAGGTGTTCATGGAAAATAAGGTCCGTGATGCTGTTGCAACGCCCCATTTTCCATAAACCCAAGATTCACTGACTCAGCGTAAACGTAAGCATAGAAAAGATTAGCAAATGAATAACCACCACACGCCAAACAGGTGGAAATGTTTTCATTCGGTTATGTAAACAAATAAACATTGAAGGGCAGCGTAACGTTCATAGTGGCGCTCCAAATGGGAACAAATAACAGGGCCATGCAGAGTAGCAAAATTCAATATCAATATAAACAAATGAAGACGCCAGAGTATGTCGCTACGTTCGAACAGGGGACATGACTCATGAAAGAGACTAGAATATATGCTAATGAATTAATGAATGAACACTATGTACTAAGAATTAAGAGGCGGTGACTTAAGAGAGGCGGTTTGGCCCGCTGAGAGCATGAGAGTACACATAGAGAGAGAGAGGAGTTGCACACAAGTTATGGCAAGAATTATGGCTTGCTAGGAAGGTTCTAGAAAGTAGAAGAAATAAAGAGAGTATAAGTAGTAAATGGTTAAGTACATGTGAGAAAAAGGAACCACTGTATCGTTGATTTTTATATTGTATATAATCTGAGTAGAAATCTATGTAGTAAAAAAAAAAACAAAGACCCGAAGTTTATATACCAAGAACGGTTTTAGAAGAACTAAGAGGAAGGGGTTAATAACTGAGAGGGAACATGATATTATAGACTGAGACAATACTATCTCTACCACTAGGTAACCGAATCCAAAATAATATGTAAAGGGAAAGTCAAGTAAATCCGAGTGGGGGTAAACCCCATAGTTAATATGTATTAAAGTAGATAAGGTGGGTATAGTATAAAAAGGGTTAGTTCTTGAATAAAGATGGCAGTTGTTCTGATGAGTTTATTATCCGAGGTTTGCTAGGTGCGGACGAGCACAGTTCCAACCTCAGGATAAATGATTCATCAAAGAGCTTTTTCCATACAGTAGAAATGGAATTGCACTGTCTTTCATTTTACGGAGAAAGAAAGACCACGCGAGTTGTTGCTCTACGTTGGGCACTTCACTGTCACCTACACTAAACACACCAAGCGTAGGTGGCCATGGATGTCCTCTTCAATAAAACAGCCCTTTTCAGGGCCAACAAGCTTATAACAGTAAAGAGTTGGAATAGAATTTATCTGTGCTTGTTTGTCCATATTCAGAACCACAAGCCCCCAACGACCACACAAAATGCTCTCCACAGTTGTAATCTTGTAACCAAACTTGGAAGCAGGGGTGCAAGTGATTTTGATTGATTCTCTTAATCAACTTTCTCTTTGAAAAAAATTACTACAAATTTGGTACACCTATAATTCAAAAACGGAAAGAGTTGAGATAATAGATAATTGATCAATTAAAAGAACTAAATGCTCTTCACATTTATTCCGTCCACTAGCGGACCTACGTCAAGCTTCCGTTCGTGTCCCTAGGCACAGATCCTTCTACTTTTTTGACATAAATTGCAACACCGCCAGTGTTTCTAGAATGTGATAAACTAGCAGCAACTACAGCAGTTCCAGTGGATTTCAGCGGAGTTTCCTGACGTTTTCAGTGGAGAAGATTCCACACGATTTCGGTGGAAATTTTGAATGCTTGCATCGGAAGTACTCAACTCTAGATTACGTTTACAATGGGACGTATCTGTTTTTGTGAACAAAAATGCAAACGTTAATTTCAAAACGTAATAAAGTTTGATCGAGACCGCTTAAAAGATGAGCAATATTGTATGCCGCTATACTCGACCCCGATCGAGGATGTCATTCTTGATGAATGCCTTTATTTTTGTCTGTTTTTAAACACAATCACAGGATGCATTAAATCGATTCCATTTGGATAGCTTCATGTCACCGGCTTGAACAGTCTTTGTTCGTCATGCTTTGCTGTTATATAAGGAGCTCGGTGGTCAAGTGGTAACCGTTTTTGCTTACTTAGCAGAAGATCGCGGGTTAAAACACAGGCTTCATTCTAGTATATTTTTGTTGTAAAGTTGAACGTAGATAATCGCTAAGAATAGTACCTGGTTGAAACAGCGCGATTTGGGAAAAAATTGACGAATGTGGGTTTGGAAACATTACGCAATGTGTGGTTATGAAATGCAACAAAAAATCTAAAGCTATCATTAATTCCGAAAAACCAATTTCTATGGACCACTAAAATCAGTTCACACCGCTTCAAATTAGTTTGGAATCATTCCTTCCACACTGATGCCGCCCCCCACAAATGCCAACTTTTGACAAATCAGTTTATAAAACAGCAATGGCTCCGTGCTGCTTTTGCCTTGTCCCTTCGAATTTCGCATCCAATAAAGGGGCGAATCAAAACCAAATTTCATTATTAATTTCAATTCCACCGCGCCTCCACCACCGACAGCTGTGTGCCTCTTCTTGTTAGTATCTACATATATACAACTCTATTTAGCAGCAACGCTCGGTTGATTGACAAATGCATTTAAGATAGCACAGGAAATTGTGTTTTTCTCCACCAGTGTTTCTCTCATTTGACCCTGGCACACACTTTGCCGCTGGTTAGCTATATATAGTTACGGGCTATCGTATGAATTTCCTCTGGACTGCAACTGGAACGGAAATAAGTCTGTTGATTCGGAAAAACTAATTCAATTTTCGATCTAGGTACTACGCTGTGCATTTTAAAGTTTCCTTTTTTTAACAAACTGTAGTGAATATGCATACTAATTGGTGAACTTTTGGTATGTTTCTTGCAGGTTTCCCGATGTGAACATTTTCTAGGCGCTGTTGTGTCAACGATTCGAAAGCGGACGATATGGTAAGTTTAAGAATATATTCAATCTACTTAAGAATAATGTTGTTCATTTGATCAAATCCGATATAAAAGTAGCATTTAGTCATACGACATAAGGACAGTTTATTGTACCACTTCGACCAACACTGTGGCCGTGTCCGCGAACCGAGCTTAATGTTCTGCTGTATCTACTTCATATTCCGGTTGTCTAGTGTAGGACTTCCTACCGCGCTCGTAGATCAACTTCCAACAACCAACGTGTGCGGTAATAATGATGCACAGACATACTCTTATTAGCTCTTCACCCTCCCACAAACCTAGGCGGCAAACATTATTTCAACATTCCCATGTACAACGCAACGGTATACCAACAACTACAACCAACCACCCGCCAGGATAAGAGATAACGTAAAGCGTAGCGTAGCTCACTCTTTTTTTTTTTTGGTCTAGCAATGAACCTTCATCTGAAAGCCATCAACATATTGCCACTTTGCTCACGCTGCGGAAGAAAGCCCCCCTCCCCTCCTGTTTTCGGGTCCCCCCCAGTTAGAATGTGAAGTCATGCCGAGCTCAACCGACGTTTTTAATGTCATTTTAATGTATCGCGATAAGCGGGGAAAGCGAAACTTATGATGGTTGGGGATGTTTTCCGGGAAGCTCAACGATGTTTTTTTTTTCACTTGTATACATCTAAGAGTTTTAAACATATCACTTTCGAACTGACTTTAGACAGCTACTTTCCAATAAACGGACGCATACAACTTTACTTATATATTCTATAATGACACTGTCACCTTAGGTCAGGTTGAACAGTGTTTATGAACGTTTGAACTCTAGGAGAAGCAAAGGGTACAAGCCAGTCGTAAAAACAACAGTACAGGAAAGTGGCACCGGTGGAGTAGCGGTAAGCGTGACTACCTCTCACTTCAAAAGACCTGGGTTCAATCCCAGTCAGCACCGCTGGGATTTTCTGAGGCATACAATCTCTGATAACGCCTTCATTCGGAAGGGAAGTAAAGCCGTTGGTCCCCGGTCCCATGAGTTAGCGTAGAACTTCCTGGCGTCGGTAGCATTGGTACTCAGTACGGAAAACTAGATCGACGGAAAACACATCAAGTAAAAAAGTAGAAGTGTCTTATTTATTTATTTGTTTATTTATTTATTTATTTATTTACGATCACCGCCTTCGACTTAGTCGCACAGATACTATTTTCTAGACTTAATTCCTAATCCTATGTGAAAATACAGTTTTGGACATGTTAAAATCGAATTTATCGTCAACTTCATTAAAAGCCCGGAGACACGAATCAAGTGGATTGTGATGCCCATAGTTCGTCCTGTGGTACGGAATTGCCAGTAGAGGTGAACTTCGGAAGCGACGTAGAGGAATGTTGATCGGTAACTGCTCAAGAAGTGCAGGACAGTCAATACCTCCTGTGATGACATCAAACACGAACATACGCTGCATTTTAATTCGCCTCGATGACAGACTTTCTAAGTTGATCAATCGGCATCGGTCGGGGTAAGAAGGAAGATTTACTGGGTCATTCCTCAATTGCTAAGATCTGCGTCGCGTAGAATGGTGTCCATACAGGAGCAGCATACTCCAGGATACTTCGCACTAACGAACAATATAACGTTTTGATGGCGTACACATCAGTAAAATCTGAAGCATGTCGACGAATAAATCCGAGTGCAGAAAATGCTTTGGCGCTTATAATAGCTACATGTTCGTTAAACTTCAATTTTGAGTCAATAGTAGCGCCCAGATCACAAATCGATAGAACTCGCTCCAGTATGACGGATTCCATTTTAAATTGATGGACAATGGGCCTGGTGCGTCGCGTAAACGAAATAACTTTGCATTTGTCCCTGTATACGCGCATTCCATTATCGCTACACCAAACGAGCATAACGTTTATGTCCTCTTGCAACGCCATGCAGTCTTCTGAAGCAGTGATGACACGATAAATCTTCAAGTCGTCGGCAAAAGAAAGGTTAAAAGAAGAGAGCAGCATACACAAGTCATTTACGAAGATATTGAAGATCAGCGGCCCAAGAACGCTTCCTTGGGGTACACCGGACGTGATGTTAAACGGCTGGGATTGTGCCGCGTTCACTACAACACAACCGGTTCTGTCCGACAGGTACGAGAACAACCACTGCGTTATCCATTCCTGAAACTCCATGTGTACCATTTTGTCTATGACCAAGATATGTGGTACAGTGTCGAAGGCCTTGGCGAAATCTATATAAATCGAATCAACTTGTTGTCCATGTCAACTTCGCGAGACAAGGTGTTGACGTAACACATCAGATTTGTAGTCGTGGAGCGTTGTTTCATGAAACCATGTTGGCTGCCGGAGATTAATGAAGATACGGCGTTATACAGAACGTTATGCACCAGTTTTTCGAAAATTTTGCTCAAGCAACACAAGACAGAAACACCTCGATAGTTCGTGACTCGATTACAGTTGCCGGATTTGTAGATTGGAATGATAGAAGCTGATTTCCAAGCCACTGGTAACATCCTGTCATGCAGCGAACGGTTGAATAGAGATGTTATGGGAGATGCAAGTGCGGTGGAGCAATTCTTCAGCAGCAAGGGTGGTATACCGTCCATTCCAGGTCCTTTATCAACGTAGAGTTCTTCAATGGCTTTCACCACTTCGACAACGGAAAACTGAACGTCGGGTAGATTTATGTCTGGTGAAGCAATATGGGCAAAGCAGTTTAAGCGAGGAACAGGCGATGATTTGCTAAATACGCTCTCGAAGAACTTGGCGAATAGGCTTGCTGCTTCCGAATTAAAGCTAGCGATGGTTTCGTCGTATTTAACGTTAGTTGGAATGCGAGTAGCCGATTTTTGGCTTCTGAAAAAATTCCAGAAACATGAAGGATTTTGATTGACATCTTATTGAATCTTAGCCATGTAACTTTCATACGTGGAAAAGAGAAGTGCCTTGTACGTTGTTTTCACTACCTGAAGGTTATTCCGCTCACTATCGGACTTCATCAGAAAGAAACGGCTGCGTGCTTTCCTGAGGACGTTTCGTAGATGACGTAGTTCAGAGGTCCACCATGGCTTGTTGTAGACTGAAGAAGCTCGTTGTCTCTTTTGAGGTACTTGGTCACTAAGAACTTCGGAAAGTTTATCGTAGAAAGCTGATACAGACTCGTCCAATGATTCCCGTCGCAGTAGAGCATCCCATTCGATGTTTGAGAGCACGTCATCCAAAGGACCAAAATCACACGACTGAAAATTAAAGTTGAATCTCACATCCCCATCGTCCGTTGTGATTGTGCCATTACAGCTTTCGTCAAGAAGCAAGATAAATGGTCCGTGATGGTCGACAATTGGTAAAAGTGGAGGTCAAAGTACTCCGGTAGATTGACAAACACAAGATCGAGGAGTCTGCCATTAGTATTCACAACATCGTTGACCTGACGCAAACCAGAGGCAAACATATTTTCTGTGAGGCAACGTTCTATTTCTGAGGAAACGTTTGACGGGATAAAGCCGTTCACGTCATCGTCTGATTGCCACCGTAAACTTGCAAGATTGTAGTCTCCTAGTGTTAGAATCACGTCAGCTGTTGACGAGTTTTCCGAAATTAGCTGCACTGCGTTCACATGAGCGTAATACAGGTCGAGGGACGAATTGGGAGGAAGATAAATGGCAATGATGTAGAGCAAGCGGCGTCCAGATTTCACACGAGCTGAAACTTGTTCGAGTTGATCACAATTTATCGGCGAAGTAGGTTCACAGACTATAGGGTTTTTGATCTAATTTCCGTCCTACTAAGGACATCCCGCATTTTACCACGCTTTTTGTAAAGCGTTTGAACAAAACATGGAATGTTTTCATCAAAGATAACTTCTAAATTTAACCACCTTTCCATACGTACCGTTGGATTTGATAAAGAGTTAAACAATGTTGAGATATTATTAAAAATTTAACACTGCTTCTTGCTTCTAAATTCGTCCTACGGGTTTCAATTCCGTCCAAACGCATTGAAACGCCATTAGATTTTCTTCGTCCTACGGATAAACGGAGGAAAAGGGGATGCGCTAGGAGCGCTTCTTTTGTTTTGAGAACAATGAGCGTAAATATGCATACAACGCGCTCTAATAGGATTTATGTCGTAGCTAATGAACTAACGCATCGGAACAAACGTATTATTGTTTTGTGCATGGTGAAATCATTGATATTATTGATGATTTCTGCTCGATAGAACGGAAATGGGCGATTACGACGAAGTAGCGCTCTTCCCTATGCCTTTTGACCGCGATCAGCACTCCGCCTCCCCGTGAGTGAATACTGGTCGATGTGCTACGGTTGCATCGAAATATGGTATACTCGGACGAAATTTCTGCGCTGTCGATATCAGACCTGAGCCAAGTTTCAGTGAACACGAGAACATCGTAATCACAGCTCGATAAAAGCAAGCGAAGACGGGAGATTTTGGTACGCAAACCTCTAACGTTCTGATAGTATACCGACAACAACCGGTCAGATGACACGCCATTCGAACGGCTCTTCACTGGTGAGGTAGATCCGAGAGCTTCCGTGGTGCGTTGGTTGGCAGATAAGCCCACATTCGTTGACAAGCGGCAACTGGAATCGACCAATGTCACGGGAAGTAAACTGTTTGAAACGTGTGCATACTTGCCCCGCACTCATACACAGGACCGGGATGTCTGCAGGGCGCTGGCCGCAATGGCTCGACTGTGACGAGGGGTTTTGGGGCTTCCATGAAATAGATGTTCCTAATTGGGCACGATTACGTTGATTGGCTTCCGTGTGACACCACTGAGCGGCTGCATCGAATGGGGTTGACGTTGAACCGCTAGAAATGGCAGACGTTACCGGAGGCAAATTGTTCTCGTTGTGCGAATACTTGCCTGCGAGGACGGTTTGGAAGACCCCTTCTCCACACTCGTACACAGGACCGGGATGTCTGCAGGGCGCTGGCCGCAATGGCTCGACTGTGACGAGGTATTTTTGGGCTTCCATGAAGCTT